GAAAAGGTCAGACAGGTCCTCTGTACTCACCAATTGTTGCTTTCCCTTTCCCATCTTGACTATGTACGTCTCTGCAATTAAGTAAATGATGTCACAGACCCCTTTAGGGCCAAGATTCTGTGATTCTGAGAACATCTCCTGGTGATGTGTTTTTACATGCCCCTAGGCATAACTGAGGAGCACGCACCGCAGGTAGACTAAACTCAGGATCTCAAAGGAGCACTGAGCCTGACGGCCTGGCTCCTACAGTGCATCATCTTGTGTGCTCAGCAACGCCTCCTAGTTGGTTGACGATTTAACGGCTCAGTCTCCTCTCTCAGAATCATCATGTGGCAGCTACAGAAATCTTCGGCTTTTTATAGGCTCTATTTTTGAAATGTTAGAGCAGCTTAATACCCAAGTTGATTCTCCTTCCGCGGTGCCTTCCTCCTAGGAAGGGAGGCTATGCGGCGCTTCGGTTAACATTGCCCCTTCCTCTCATTACTTTGCTCCCTCCCTGTCATCCTCTGCCTGCTCCCCTGAATGCACTCTGCCCAGGCTCAGCTTCTGGGAGTGGCTTTTTAAAACTGCCCTTGGCTAACTAAACACCTTGAAGTCTGTTTCCTTATCTGTGAAGTGGTGGGGACCATCTTTTCACTGCAGAGCTAAGTGAAATAGTCTCCCCTCCGTTTTATAAAGTCAGCAGTCCCCTGATGGAGCGTCGCATTGGCCTGGCCGGCCTCTGAACAGCCACGTTTGCTGGCCCGGGACATAAGCTACACCAAGCCCTGGCCTTGTTGAACCGTGGTCCTTTTCTTCCGTGATTCCACAGAGCTCCGAGCCCCCTTTGAGGCTGCCTCAGGGACCAAAGGGGTGGATAAGGACACGGATGAGGCAGAAGAGGACTATGCCCCGGCAGACCCACGCGGGAGCGAGGCGCAGGCGGCGTGTGGGTGGAGCAGGCCCGTTTCAGCAGTTGCCCAGGAGGCCCAGCCCCAGCAGCTCCACCAGCAGCATCTGAGCCTCCAGCTGAGCAAGCTCAGGCAGGAGACCAACAGGTGGGCAGGGGTGGGACAATGACCCGGACCAGCCGGTCAACTCAGTGGTCGAGTGCCTCACCCAGGTCTCAGAAAAGCATCTTTATCCCCCAAGGAACTGCGCGAGGAGATATTCTCAGCTTCAACTGGGGGACTAGAAGGATGCCTCCCTTTTTTTTCAATGCTAGGAGTCAGAGAAGTAGAGTGCCTTGCCACAAGCCGTACTAAAGGCAGCAGCATCTCAGAGTTTTCTCTGTCTCTTTACCGAGGTGGGTTCCCTGACATGGTGTGTGGGTCCAGCAACTCGGGGGGACATCTGCGGCCCGCCCCTGCCGAAGTAGCTGAGTTGGGGGTCAGTTAGCACTGCGTCGATGGACAGGTATCCCATAACCCTGACCCCAAGGAAGTCTGCCCTGTCCTCTTTGAATCTCTCCCTTGTGTTTTGTCATGATCCCCAGGCAGGCATTAGTGAACCGCCTTCCCCGACAGCGGACCCTGGCACTGCCGTGAGGTTCCCACAAGAGTTGGGCTCTTTTGTTTATTTCCAGGCACATAGTAGGTGTTCAAAACATATTTGTTAAATGAACAAAAAGATTCCCATTTGCGCTGGGGAACCACGTCATCAGTGGGCTTAGCAAACTAGTTGGTATTGGTTCCAAATGATGCCTTGTTGCCCAGTGGTCATTGGGAATGCTAAAATTTAACGGGGACAAACAGTGTCAGGCATACCTATTTCGGAAGAAAAGTTGTACACACCCCTAGGGATCTCTGAAGTTTAATTTTAGGCAGATCTAATCATTTCTTTTTAGAAAGGCCCAGTTTTAATTAACTGGTAGTGGTGGCAAAACTTTTTTTAAGTTTTGAAAAAATGACAAATGTGAAAGTTGATAGTAGTACTTAGCCCTTCTTTAAAATGTGTTTCTGGTAAGGTTTATAATCACCAGATTCATAAAATGTTATATATGGGTTCAAAGGTTATTCCTTTCCAGGGTCAATATTGTTACCTTCCATCTCAGAATTAGTAATGAGACGGCAGCCAGCACCTGACTGCGAATGGCTGACAGACACACAGCTCCTACAGACACGCCTGCCCTTGTAGGATGGAGATGCCTTAGCTGTTGTTGGGCACAGCAGGAAGGCACCTTTGGCCCTGAGTGATGCTGACGAGGGTAACACATCTGTCCCGAGTAGTGTCTGTGAGACCAAGCTCCGTGAAGCGTTTAGCGCAGTCTTGGGTAAGTGTTCGCAGTAGTGTCCCTCTCACCTTCCAAGCAGCAAGAGTCTTTTCTGCAGTTCCTCCTTCCCCCTAGCTGTTCCAACAGCAGCAGCAGGGCTTCTGTCTCCTTGGCTTACTCTCCGGTGAGGAGGGAAGGGCCTGACCACTAGTTTCAGCGACTTGACCTGACTTAGGGAGACAAGTTGGCTGAGTTCTACTGATCACCATCAGGTTATCTTTTGGTTCATGATACATATTCTGAGGCAAAATATACCCACGCCCTGAGCGTTGGTCTTTGTTTACAAGGGGAGGAAGCACAAGAAAGGTGCTCATGTACAGGCTGAAACCTGATCACACAACTTTGAAGAAGCTAGACTGATCGTTGGGATTGTGCCTTTTTTATTTTTTTTAAACCTCTGTTCAACAAATGTTTGAATTGAATTGAATGGTATTAGGCTCTCTCTGGAGGATGGCTTTTTTTTTTTTTTTTAAACCAGACTTTTGGAACACCTAGTTCAAAAAGAGAGGGAGTACCAGAATCTTCTACGGCAAACCCTAGAACAGAAAACTCAAGAATTGTATCACCTGCAGTTACAATTCAAATCTAATGGTGAGTGATTTTCCACTTGCTCTGACTTATGTGTGTGTGAGACCATTCAAAATCTGGCTGGTATTCTAGTCAGCCTTGAAACAGTTGAGGGTATTCTCGATCAGACCAGTAAGTACTCCAGTAAGATTCCGGAATACTGGTCAATAATAAAAAGGAACTTATCAGTACATTCAAAACCAGATGAATCGCAAATGCATTATGCAAGTGAGAGAAGCCAGATTCAAAAGGCTACACATTATGATTCCATAAATGTAGAACGTTTATAGAAAAATTCTATTAAAGGCAAAACTACAGGGACAGAAAATAGAAGTGGGTGGGGGGGTGGAATTGATGATAGAAGGCGACGAGAACGTTCTGGCGTGATAGAAATCTCTCTGTCTTGATTGTGGTGGTGGCTATGTGACTCTGCTTGTCGAAGTTCTTAGCACTGCATACCTAAAAAGGGTAGTTTACGGCATAAATTATACCTCAGTCAGCCAGCCTTATGCGTTTGGTGCCCAAAAGGGCTCTTGGAATGGGGAATGGATACGCTGAGGCCAAAAATCTCAGTATTCAAACCTATTTCCTCATTTGAATTCCAGTGCAGTTACGGATATGATTCCATAGAAAAGGCATTTTAAAGATGGGAATACACATTTAAAGTAGGAGATAATTAGTTTGAAGTATCACAGGTAAGGAACATTTTTAATCTCTGGAAAGTGACTCCAAGGACTATGGACTGTTGCACAGTGTGTAGCAGAGCAGCTGAGCCAGGTTTAATCCATTTCCTTTTCACATCACATTCTGGAATAATAGTTTATTTCATCCAACTTGTTACTTGAAGAATTTTGCTGTTACACATCAGTATACAACATAACTTTCTAATCATTACAGAGATTACAGAGAACTCAGCCTCCCCTCCTCGGTCTTATGGGCAGAGAACAGAAAAAGAGCTTGTCGACTGGTTGCAACTGCAAGGAGCGGATACGAAAACAATTGAAAAGGTAAACTTACAACCAAACAAACCATTCCTGTGCTATCATTACAGAGCTGCTTAGCTCTTAATGTATTTGATCTTTGTTTCAGATTCTTGAAGAAGGTTACACTTTCTGATATTCTTAATGATATCACTAAGGAAGACCTAAGGTACCTTAGACTACGGTAAGAATAGCTTCAAAACACTTTGTGGAACAGAAAATGACTTTTTTGGTGTAATTTAGGCTCTTTTGTGTGTGTGTGTGTGTGGTACGCGGGCCTCTCCTGTTGTGGAGCACAGGCTCAGCGGCCATGGCTCACCGGCCCAGCTGCTCCGCGGCATGTGGGATCTTCCCGAACCGGGGCACGAACCCGTGTCCCCCGCATCGGCAGGCGGACTCTCAGCCACTGTGCCACCAGGGAAGCCCCTGTAATTAGGCTTTTAAGTAAAGCAGTAGAAAACAAAGGCTGGTAACTTTCCCCCCTTCATTAACGTTAACTCCCTTTTCTATGGCTCAGTCAGGAAAAAAAAACTACCAACCTCACTCCAAACTCTGGAGTTTTTCAAGGTTAAAGGGAAAAGCTGAGACGGGGCAGAAGCTAAAGGCCCAGTAGAAAAAGTCAAGAGACCGGCCTGGCTGGGAGTGAAGCGAGACATGAGATGCCAGTGGGCTACACCCAAACCCTTCTTTCTTTAATAGCCTGCTCTGCACAGATGCAGCAGCACTCCTGTACAGTACCTCTCAGGCCATGTCCCACTCCTGCTAACAAGTGTCACCTCCATATGTGAAGAGAACATATTCCCGTTTTAGTTAAGTAAGTTTTCAAGTTAGGGACTGCATTTTTAAGACTAGACAGCAAATCTAGACAAGTCTGGAAGGACAGACTACAGCTTTTGCCGTAAGGGCTCCTAAAGAAGTCTTCTGCCGTGTTGCTTTGAAGTTGTCTTCTCTTACGGCTCTCTAAAGAAGACTCCTGTTTGCCTCGTATGGTGGTCTCCTCTGCAGGCTCTGGACTGCAGCCTCCCAGTACGGAAGACAGGCTCAGGGGGCCCCGGCAACCCAAGATGAGGCTTAATCAATCAGCTAAGCCAGGGGACACAGGGAGCAAGGAGCTGACAACATACCCACGAATTCTGCTGCACTTACGCAAGGAAAACACCACTTGTTCAATGAACAATTTAAGAACTTGAAGTTTTAAAGGATTATGGAAAAAATTTTAACCTTTTATTTATCAACATGTTTTCAAGGTGAGTAGAACTTGTATGTATTGTGACAACAGTGATTGTAAAACCTGGTCTTGACATCCCAGAGTATTAGGGAATCCTTAAAAATGAATTTTCATTTGGAAAAATATCTGCTGGAAAGGTGAAACAACAGGTGTTTAAAATAACAAAAAGGCTGGGAATCACTGTTTTAGATCACGCATTCCATACATTACTATTAACTGGAATTGCACTTAAAATTCAAAAAAGATAAAATTGCTAAGAATATGCCTTGTATTAATGTTTGATATGACTGTAAATAGAAAACTATTAAGAAAATAGCTTCATATTGATAATGTATAAATGGAGAAAACTAACTTATTTATTTGGCCTCTAAAATGAAGTAGTCTTATTTAAAAATCGAATTGTCCTTCCACCCCTGCCTGGTTATAATAAATATTGTGTTTTATTAAGGAGTAACTTATTTATTTGGCCTCTAAAATGAAGTAGTCTTATTTAAAAATCGAATTGTCCTTCCACCCCTGCCTGGTTATAATAAATATTGTGTTTTATTAAGGAGAAATGATGGTTCAGTGTGAACAGGCTTCAGCACCGACGTGCACACAAATGGGGGCGTGTGTGCACGTTAGGGTACACCAGGTAAGCTGCTGGGCACTGGGAGGGACAGGACAATGATCGCCCCACAAAAAGGTGGCAGAGTTGGACAGGCATATAAGGAATTGTTTCTCCTTTTAGTAACTAAAAAAGTATTTGTTAAACTAGTATACAACTAAACCAAATAGAACTATTTTAAAGAAGTAATTTGAAGGAGGGTCAAGCAAACTCTTATTACCTATTTTAGACGTACATAACTAAAATAACCTTTATAATAAGATCCATACTATCCTTAAGATATAACATTAAAAGACGTTGTACCTTTTAATGCAACACTGTACAAACCACATGCAATTATACTATCTATCTATCTAAATCTACACTTTCTTTCTATGGGTTTTTTTTCCTCCTTAACAAAGTTGAGAACCCAAAGCATTCCTTACAGTTGCTGCCGAATAGCCCCACTGAAGGTGTACCATCTCGCATTAACTGATGGACTTAAACTTGATCCACTGGCTTGCACCCCGGACTTCAAAAGGCGGATCGCTGCAGTAGATGTGATAGCCGAGTTCTTCCAAAGGTGGTTCAGGGTCAGCTGTAGCAAACTGGGCAGCATCCTCAATTTCTTTTCTCACGTCAACATCAATTTCCTAAAAATCAATCAGATTACAGTTCAAGAGATGTTTTGAATAGACAGCAGCTTAGGTACCAACTTGTTCTACTGGGAACCTCTTGCTAACTCTCTACTAGTACTGGCAGTATACCTATTATTATTGAAAATGTTAGTTTAAACATGACGCAACGATCCACGAAGGGGGATTCTGGAGGACAGATACCAACCAACATTAAGACATACACCCTGGCGAGGGAACATTTATGAATTAAAAACCTACAGTATATTTTTAGGAAAGAAGAACTGTGATGGTGGAGGAGGTTAATGTCCTGTGAAAAATACTGCGTTGGCCAAAAAGCTCTTCAGGGTTTTCCCACAACATGGCTCGGAAAGCCCCGAACGAACTTTTTGGCCAACCGAATACAATATGTACTTTCCCATTTACTTACCTAGTTTACCGAGTGGCAGCTTCTCGTGTAGAGAAAAACTGCTCAAAAAGGAGAGCCAACCTTCAAAGGCAGACTCTTAAACCATCAAGAGTCACTGTACCTTTAGTTCTTCAACACTGGCCAGATTGCTGTTCACCATCCTATCCTTGAGAAGCATGATAGGGTCACTCTTACTTCTAACTTCCTGAATTTCTTCTCGTGTACGGTAACTAGAGGGAGGGAAACAGAGTTACAAGTAGATAAGAACAGCGCCGGCACAGCAGAGACAGTCCGGGAAACACAGCAGTCTGTTTGTTTCTGAGACGAGGGAGCACATCAGTACTCACGTCACCGTAAGAAGGGCAGAATTATATACTTTCGAAATACAAGAACTCATCCTAATATTCTGTAAGGAAGAGCTGCTCTGTCTTTATAGAAAACTCTACAATGGCAATTCACCTGGCTTCTCTGGCATTCTGACAACAGGGGCCAAGTTTCTATTTGCTACTTTGATCTAGAGGTAGGGCGTGAAGGTACTGGTGGAGGCAGGGGAGATGGTTTTCTGTGGTGATAGCTATAACCTTTGAGGCAGCAGAAGGCTAAGCACAAAAAAAGTGTGCCTTGCCTTTTCTCCCTTAAGACCACAGAGCAGTGTGGCTGGCAAAAACCTGGAGAGGAGGTTTTCCGATTCTTGATTGTACAACTGACCCTTGTCCTACAGCACTTGAAATAACACTAAGAGCAAAGAAAGGCTACCACCATTTTTTTTAAGAACAGAATTACACCAAGTGCTTTCTTCCATGTAAGCTGCTCTTCGTAACATTTTCCCTTAGGCCTTCATTCTATATACTCAAAGACTTATTACGGCTTACTTTGACTAAATCTACTCTTAATTATGCCACACTCCGGGACTGCAGCATTACATGCCAGAGTTGCCAGGTGACAAAACTCCTTTTTTTTTTGACTGATTTATTTCAACATATGCTCCATTCCAGCCAGAAGAGGAATATGCCATGAGAATCTGGGGTAATGCCTACAAAAGGTAAATGCCCCCAAGTATACTACTCTACCATCAGTCCTATTTTATGCAACAGTTCCTCTCTGCAATTGTTTTCTTACTGGTGCTCATGCTAACTAGCATGTACACACTAGAGGAATTTTCAGAATGCTTTCTATATTGGAACCAATTTATTGGAAGGCACGGCTTTCAGGCTCAGACTAACTACTAAATCAATGCATGAAGCCAACTGGTGTCTGGCTTCAAAAGCAAACACACACTGAAATGCTTTGCTTTTTCATCTAAGTAGCACCATTCAAAGCCCATCCACTTCGGACACCACACTCAGTTTTCCCATGACCATACCTGACTCCAGGATCACTCATGCTGTGCCCATGGTAACGGTAAGTCTGCAGCTCCATCAGTATGGGCCCCTAAAACAGAACCCAGTGGAGGTAAGGTGAAACAATGGCCACAGCCTCAAATGTACGTCCTTTCAGGATCAAATACCTTCATCAGATCTGAGTTAAGAATTTCTTCTTAGTTGACTGATTGATTATCTCTTCTCATTTCTATTACCTATTTATTGCATGTTTCATCCTCCTCTTTTTTTTTTTTTTTGCGGTACGCGGGCCTCTCCCGTTGCAGAACACAGGCCCCGGACGCGCAGGCTCAGCGGCCGTGGCGCGCAGGCCCAGCCGCTCCGCGGCACGTGGGATCCTCCCGGACCGGGGCACGAACCGGTGTCCCCTGCACCGGCAGGCGGACTCGCAACCACTGTGCCACCAGGGAAGCCCCATCCTCCTCATTTTTTAACAGGAACTTATTAATAAAAGCCACCCCACCCACTCCCCCCCCGCAGCATATTTTGAATCAAAAAGGCAGACAATTCTTTATGTAATGTCAATGGGTTCTATTTCACCAGAATTGCATTTGATATATAATTATTTAAGCACAGCATAGATTTAATGAAGAAAAGCCTATCAGGAAGCGGGGATGGCATTTATCTTCACGGTCAATATGCTAGTCTTTCTGCCCAGCCCCTCCTCCCCCCAGTCACAGGGGAAATCATCTATAAGCATTCTGATCAAGGCTAGAGAAAAACACTAACATAAACCTTAACAACGTAAGATGAAAAGCAAACCTCTAGTCCTCTCGTCCTTCTCCACTTCCCAGCACACATGAAGAGAGGCTGGATAGGTGACTTTCTACGTCACACCCACTTCATGCAGTGTTTCGTAGGGGACAGCAACCAATCCTGCTTCACAGAGATCTAGCTACTGTGTAACTAACAAACAAACAGAAAGTTGGCAGGTGCTGATCCTGCGACTGGGAGAGCCCGGCTACCACGAGGTAGCTTGCTCATGCTACACCAGCCCCCTTTCAGAAAACAACTTTGAACAGAGGGGATGGGGTGGATCTAGGATCCTTGGACAGTTTGGTGTAGTAGTTAAAAGAGGGCGGGGGATGGAATCCAAGTGCTTGGGTTCCAGTTCTGGCTGTGCTGTATAGTAGCTACATACCTCAGTTTCTTCATCTACAAAACAGTAATTAACCCAGCTCAGAGGTGCGCCGATTAAAAAAGGTAATACCTAAGTGCTTAGCACATTACCTGACCTATCATCTCTCAATAACTGTCACCTATATTGATTGTTGATCATCCCGTAGCCATTTGGAAGCATGGCTGGTTAGGCTAAGGGGATGGTGATAAAGGGGTTTTTCCAGACCCTCCCCTAATTCCAAGATCAGGCTTTGGTCCGGCTGAGAAAGTCAAGACACTACAAACTACTTATCCTGTTTCCACATACTGCTGGACGCCACATATTCTTTTAGGAACTGGGAGAGAGGGGGATGATGATACCCACCACCCAGGGCGTGGACCCCTAGTCTCAGAGTCTTGATATAGACCAGTGAGCCCACTGCCACCAACCTGCCATCTCAGTCATCTCATTCTTTTCTTGTTCAACCGTTCTACAGCTCCCTCGCGCCTCTTCACCCTCTCTTCCATTTTCATCACTGCCAGCCCAATCTTATTTGCACTACTGCCCAAACACGTACGTAAGGGCAGTCACTGAAGGGTAAACCTCAGGGGCCTTTCTGGGCTGTGAAACACTGATTTAGGGAGAAGAACATCTTTCCACCAGCTCAGATGGCATGTAAGCCTCTTTTTAGGCCAATCTCACTGTTCCCTTCTCCCTCCACTGCTATAACTGGAAGGGTCAAGATTCTTAGGACTGAAACAGCAAGACTAAGACTACATAATTTAAACGTATTATTCGATTTACAAAAGACAAACTTATACTGGATGCCTATTTTACATAAGCAAAGTTCTGTGCAGGGCACTGCAGGAGTCCCCAGTCTGTTCACTTAAGGGGCTTACGATTGATGGCGGGGCAGGGGGGGAAGAGTTAGAAGCACATAATTTAACCAAACCAAAAGGCAAAACAGATTGTCACAATGAAGACAGAGGCAGAATGCTGAGGGAGCACTGGAAGGAAAGATTTACCCCAAATGGGGCAAACATGGAATGTTTCCCAAGACGTGAGCTATCAAGACCATGTTATTTATGAAGGGACCCGATTCGCTTAACTGGACCCAGCTTCTATCTTTTACACCTCAATTAGCAGCTACTCACTACATTGCTACAATAGACACAGGGGGCATTCTTTTAACTTTAGGACAGATAAATGTCATTAGACATCTCTAGCCTAGAGGCCTACAAGAAAAATCTTACCTTTCCAGATCTACAATAGGCAGCTGCAAACCTTGTGGCCTCCCGGACACACAGGATATCCATTCCATCTACCTATTAATAAATGGGAAAGATTAAATAAACACAACATTGTAAATCAACTATACTTCAATAAAATTTTAAAAATAAAAAGTAAAGGGGCAGAGCATAAATCCAACTGCCTAAAACCATTTTCATCTTACATGACCTGTTCATCCACTAAGAAAACAGAACTCTTTAATCTCTCTGAGATTTTCAAGGGCACTTGACAGAGTGCCCGGGCCCTGCAGGCCCTGAGGGTGTAGCTCCAGCTCTACAACAGGTGTCCTTACCCTCAGCCCAGGAATGAAGTCGCCTCTCTTGTAGTAATCAGTGCTGGCTGCTGCTCTCTCCACAGATGTTCCCATCCCATAGCGGTTATTCTCACAGATGAAAATACAAGGCAATTTCCACAAAGCCGCCATATTGTAAGCTTCGAATATCTGACCCTGGAAGTATGTATAAAAGTTCAAGTGGTTTCATTTTGCTGTTTTTCTCTAGACTTCATCATCCACAACAGCTGCTGCTCTACCCAGCAGAGAAAGCTTCCATAGGATGAAACGCCTCACCCACAACTAAGCTTCTGAAGCAAAGGAGTATGTGCGCTTGGGGGGGGGAGCAGGGCACGGCACAGCAAACCCATCACCTCTTTTGCCGCTAAGGAAGGGACAAACCAAGTACTACTACTTGCTTCTGTAGGGCCAAGGCAGCAGCGGAGAATACAACGGGAAAAGATGGACACGTAAGAATGTACTACGGCTGCCTAGTTGCGTGCTTCATTATAAATTCTATGAGACCCTCTGGATGACCAGACTGAACCGGTGTCTGAGAATCAGCATCCAGAGCAGGGCCTGGCAGGGTGTCAGCCACGGACCGGTGATTACTCAGACCACGACAGAAGAGCAAGAAGAGTCAGGGCTCAGGAACTAGGAGAGGAGTCTGACAGTGCCTTGGCATTCAGGGGAATGAGTCTGTACATTACGGTACTGGTTTAAGAACTGGTTTGCCAAGGATTAAAATGTAAATCAGTCCTTCCCCGCAGAGTCTGTGGAGCACTGAGGTAGAGCAAAGGTGAGCGTACTCCTAGGAGTACACCTATATAAAGCGCTTGTGAAACAATGCCAGGATGTAAATCTCTAATGCGGCCACAAAACCAAACTTTAGCTTGCCAGATAAATGGCCATTTCAACTAGTAAGCAATATACTACTTCACCACAAACTGAACTATGAATATTCAACACTTTGGACATAACACTGTAATCATTATTGCAAAGTTAAGAGACACATACTCACCTGATTAGCAGCGCCATCACCATACAAAGTCAAACAGATTTCATCTTTTCCGTTATACTTACAGGCCAGAGCAATCCCAGCTCCCAGGGGCACCTAATATTAAGGACAACCAAGAAAGGAACCACAGAAATCCGTGAGGGAAGAAGTTAATGCTCTGAATGTTAACTCCTGACCAGAATGTGAGAGAGAAATGACACCGTCCCTACCCCAACCCTGTCTCTGCTTACCCTACCCCCAATATTATAAACAAACTGGCAAAGTAACACGAATAACTACTATGGTATTCTATGTCAACCATTTAGCAATAACATTTATGCATTCAGAGATTCAACTGCTAATCCTAAAAAGCCAAAAAAAGAAAAAGAAACCAAGGATTAAAAAAAATACCAAAAACAAACCAAAAAACCCAGATGCTAGAACCTTAATATATTAGAAAGTAAACCGAACAATCTAGATACGATCTTCTGTTCCTTGTCCATTATTTACTAACTGATGAGAACAAGGAGGACGGCATAACCACAGAAGCTGACTTTAGATTCAAACTAGGCCCTTAAGATCCTGACCACCTGCTTCTCCTGGTCTGGTACCAGTGCCAGCACCGTCTACAGCAGGGAGAGAGGTGTGGCCAAGAGGATGTGACAAAGCAATTAAATACCAATTAAACGGCAAAGGTATAGTTCTACTGCTAGAGGCTCTTGCTTACTTATAAAACATAACAAGTACCTAAAAGGAAACATTTTAAATCACTGTACAGATCTATTTATTAAATGATAGGGTATGAAGCAAGAGGTCATTTAAAGCACACCGTGCCCCCCAAGTACTTCAGAGGGAAGTTGTCTGGGGTACAGAATATTGCACAGATGTGGGCCAGGGCCAAATCCAGAAAATCATACAATCCTAGTCCTCAACTACCTGAGCTCCCACGATGCCATTGCCCCCGTAGAAGTTCTTGGCGTACATATGCATCGATCCTCCTTTTCCTTTAGCACAACCTCCTCTTCGTCCTAGAAGTGGCACCACACAAACATGACACATCAAAAACCAAATGTATAAAACAAACAAAAACACACCCTGAGTATTTACGTAGAGGCTCAACCATTAGAACTCAGAAACCAATTCAACTACATGAGCACCTGTCCCTCTATGCAAATACCTAGACAAGTCCTCCTTGTCTCCTGGCCCTTTTATAATGAAGGTCAGACCAGTCCCATGTCCTTGACCTTTCCAACTTTTTCAGCTCTCTAATCACTGAGTTTTCTTCAGATGTTAGTGTGGTACCCTAGAATTTTTTTTTTTTTTTTTTGGCCAGTTACAAACATCTGATTTCTCCTATACTCGCGTTAAGAGTCAAGGGGGACAAAGGGACTGTTGAGAAGATTCTACCCAATGAATTTCTACCCAATGAAATACTTATACTCAATTTACTTTGCTAGATTTCTATTGGCATGCTTGAGTGATAAACACTATTCTGATTTTATAGAGCTGACCTTTTACCTGAGAGGCCAGACAACGTCAAAAAATGGTCAGTTTACTCAAAAGCACAATAGAGGTACCAGAGCACCAAAAGGGAGAGGTTTTTTTGGTTTCAGCTTTTTTTTTTTTTTAACCCTCAAAAAGGTTTCAATGTTAACTTATAAACGGTTAGCATCTTAATAGAAGATCTGAAAACTTAATTTCCCCTTTTTGTAAATTAATAGCAAACCTGTAAGCTCTGCGAGAATTGCTCGGACAGAAAGCCCACGAGTAAACGTAAAGCCGTGAGCCCGATATGCTGTGATCAGATGGTCTGTGGGGTTTATGCCGGCCTCCAGGCCCACACAACAAGCTTCCTGCATTCAAGGAAGAAGCGGCAATGAGTCAGTACAGTACACCATTTCTAGTTAAAAGGTTTCCTAGACTATTATGAAACATTTGGCCCAGTAGAACTCTTCATTAATAACAGCAAGTACCTCTACTTTTCACCAGAAAGAGAGTAGAGGGTAAGGCCCAAGCCAGAGCCATAAACTGGCAATGCACAGATACGTTTCTTTTAAGCCTGTATGGTGATTTGAAAAAATCCTGAATCAAATGTGAACATTAAAATATTGGGGAATTTCATATGAAAATAGAGACGTCTGTCTTCTCTCGAAGACATCAGCAACAGGAAGCGTTAGCCCCATATTTCAACATGGCACCAACTGGCTGGACTACCAGCCAGTTATGACTACCTCTGCGGGTGGGCCCCGTCTGTTCCACTTCACCACTAGTCCCTGTCACCTTTCTTGATACTTCATACAGCTGGCAGCCTTCACTCATGTATTCTACCTAACTGGTCCCTGGTAGGCATTTGATTTCATAAACCTTGGCCTAAACCTACAAAACAAAAAACAAAACAAAAACCCTTCCCCCAAAAGTATACTCAGTACAGGTGATCATAATGCTATAAAAAGGCACAGGAAGTCAGCAATATGATACATGAGTCAATTCTTTAGCATAAGCTTCCTAGCAGGTCTCAGCATTCTCATGTTTATTCTAAAATACCAGCCTCAAATCCTTCAGACAGATAAAGCAGGGTAAAAGCCAATAAACACACACCATACTTCAATTCCTAAGTAACACCGTTTTATTACAAAACTACCACCCACCTGACCGTCACACAAGTGACAGAAACCACGGATAATTTTCTGTTTATATAGCTGATCTGCTTTTAACTCCATTCGACGAACAGTCTGCATCATCCTGTAGTATTTGAGCCCATCCTCCCTGGTGAGCACCGTAGTGACAGGAGGGCCCTCTTCCAGCCGGTGAAGATCACATTTCTGAAATGGAATCAGACAGTTATCTCTCAGTCACTACGACGTAAACACTGCCAACCCACTCTAAGATCTAACTCGAAATATTTAAATCGAAAACCAGCAAATACTGAACTTGAAAACCAGCAGGCGAGCACATCAGAAATGCTGCATATTGCTTCTGATTCCTTCATAAAACTGACTGTGCAATGAGATGGGGTTTTGGAGAAAGGAAGTCTTTCTAAGATGACTTTCACTGAAAACCCACAGAAGTCAACTGAGTTACAGGTTCAAAGACAAACTTTCAAAGAAGCATTCTAAGAATCTTCTTATTCAAACATGTTACCAAACCACATTTCAAGTCTTAGAGTAGGTCTTCAATCTTTTTAGCTTGCTCTCCTGCTCCAAACTACCAAAAACCTGCTACATAAAAGGAGTAAATTCTAATTTTTGCTAACTTCTCTGAATCTTCGATTCTAGAACATTTGGAATAAAATGGTGAAAAGCATGAATATCAAAATGCTCTACTGCAGAGGTAAAACTATATATCAAAGTGTACCTGTGGAAAAAAATTTAACACGAAGCAAAACACCTCTTACCTTAATTTCAAATGTAGCATCATTTGCAAAATTACGGGATGCCACCAGCACTCTGCTTGCCTTGAAAGATCAAAATATACAAGTATATCAGTGCTTTTTATTGTCGGTTATTTTTGAGTTATTAATCAGTTATCAGGATGCAGTCCTAGAACTCTAAGAGCCCTAACACATTCATGGGCTTATCTTCCATTCTGTTCACTGTGTTGGGATCTTGTCCTCCAAAAGGAATCCATGCTTTGGCCAAAGAAACATGATGGTACCCCCATCTAAAGGCAAACTGCAGAAACCCGTCTATATAGTCACTTTGTTTTCAAAGAAATTACAGTGACAATATAATGAAGTTAATGGCCAAACTGAAGAGACCAGATAATCTGTGGGGTATGTTTATGCTATTCTTAGTCATAACCACATACATTGAGCAAGCTAATGCTTTACTTTCAGAATAGTTCTTCAAATAAAACTATGATTCAACTCCTATTTCAGGCAAATCACTTCTCTATGAAACGGTACTATAAGAAAAATATTTTAAACTACACAAAGCATGAGATAGACACCTTAGTGAGAAATGTACAAGACAAAAGAAAAGATACTTAGCATTCCCTGACTTAAAAAAAACAAAAGATTTGAGGGATGTTTTATGATTCGAAGAGCACCAGAAGGAACATGTTCTCTACAACTCCCTTCCTTTTTTTTTTTTTTTGAAATAATAAATGCTTCTCGAGAGGGCAGACAGCAGAAGCAAGAACAACTACAATCCTGCAGCCTGTGGAACAAAAACCACATCCACATAGACAAGATGAAAAGGCAGAGGGCTATATACCAGATGAAGGAACAACATAAAACCCCAGAAAAACAACTAAATGAAGTGGAGATAGGCAACCTTCCAGAAAAAGAATTCAGAATAATGATAGTGAAGATGATCCAGGACCTTGGGAAAAGAATGCAGGCGAACATAGAGAAGATGCAAGAAGTGTTTAACAAAGACCTAGAAAAATTACAGAACAAACAAACAGAGATGAACAATACAATAAATGAAATGAAGACAACACTAGAAAGAATCAATAGCAGAATAACTGAGGCAGAAGAACGGATAAGTGACCTGGAAGACAGAATGGTGGAATTCACGGCTGCGGAACAGACTAAAGAAAAAAGAACGAAAAGAAATGAAGACAGCCTAAGAGACCTCTGGGACAACATGAAACACGACAACATTCACATTATAAGGGTCCCAGAAGAAGAGAGAGAAAGAACCAGAGAAAATATTTGAAGAGATTACAGTTGAAAACTTCCCTAACATGGGAAAGGAAATAGCCACCAAAGTCCAGGAAGCGCAGAGAGTCCCATACAGGATAAACCCAAGGAGAAACACGCCGAGACACATAGTAATCAAATTGGCAAAAATTAAAGAC